AAAAAAAAAAAAAAAAGCTCAGGTACAGTGCCCAGGTCTTGAGTTCAAGCCTCAGGAAGCCCCACCCCGCTAAAGTTCAATGATTCTCCACACTCAGTAGAATGACTATAATAACAAGGACAGAAAATAAATATTGGTGAGCACGGGGAGAAATTCGAGCTACCACTGCTGATGGAGTAGCAAACTGCTGCAGCAACTTGGAAAAACTTTGACATTTACTTCCTTGTGCTCATTTCTTTGTCTATTTTCTGTACCAGCACCCAGGCTTAAACTCAGAACCCTGCAATCTCACTTGACTTTTTTGCTCATGGCAGGCATTCTACCATTTGAGCTATGCTTCCAATCTGGCTGTTTGCTCATCAATTGGAGATGCAGTCTAAAAGACTCTCCTGCTTGGGCTAGCTTTGATAGCTCAATCCGTATGTCTTAGCCTCCTGAGTAGCTAGGATTAAAGGCGTGAGCCACCAGTGTTTCTGTCTTCATGATTTTCAACAGAGGGCTACCACATATAACCAGCGACTCAGTTCAGTTCCATTTGTGTGGCTTCAGTTCAATCCACACAAACACCTACATGTAAATGCTCACAGCAGCATTATACATAATACCCAAAAGGCGGAAACACTCCAGCTGTCCAACTGATGGAGAAACAAAACATGGGACAAAGCCATCCAATGGACTATTATTCAGCCGTGAAACGGATCTTAGTTCAAATACACACTATAGCCACCACATGCGTGAACTTGGAAACCGTTACACTAAGGAGACAAAGCCAGGCATACACTCCACTCCATTCCTACCACGTGTCCCAGAATAAGCAAATCTACACACACAAAAGGCAGGGCAGGCTTGTGACAGTCGGGGATAACATGTGGGGGAGACCGGTGTTGTTGCTAAAGGACATGAGATCTCTTTTTGAGGTATCAATGCTGTTGTAGAATTCTCACAATGCTGTGAACACAGTAACACGCACACACACACACCCCCCACAAAATGATGTGGTTTCATGGGTGGATCATACAAAATGCCAATTATATCTGAATAAAACCGTTTACCAAAAAACAATGTTGATAGTTTAATAATATTTTCATGATCGCTTTGGGCAAAGGTTGGGTTCAACATCAACAGGAAGAGAGAGAGAGAGAGAGAGAGAGATGGAGCCAGGGCTCTAGGAATTGGGGGGGGAGGAAGATGGGGGTCCCCCTCTACCCAGTGTTAGCTGTGGCGAGCCACAACCATCAGAAGGTGAGAGAGAGGAAAAACAGCACGGGACACACCCACCCCGCCCCCAGGAGCAGCCCCGGAGCTAATTTCGATTTCCTTCTCCCCAGGTTGTGCAGCTGCTTCACCCAGGGGGACTAGACAGACTGTTCTCGTGATGAGAAACCTCTGACACCTGGGTAGGGGACACGTTCTGGGGCTCCCAGGGGGCATGGAGCCCCGATACCACTCCTTCTGGGAAAGATGAGCGAGCCCCATGTGGAAGAGGACAGGGTTGAGCTTTGAGGAAGAAAAAGAAGAATCTTCCTGAGAGGGGAAGACATGAAGGAAAAAGGTCACTCTACAATGTTCATGAAACAAATGAAGGAACAAAAAGCCATGTAAGAAAAGCAAATCCATCGAAAGAATGGACCTTGGCGCTCGCTTTAGCATCACGGGCACATCCGAGCAATGGGAGGGGCTTTGGACATGATTTAGGTTAAGTGGGAAATGGGGCAGAGGGAGGGGTATGGCGTTAGAGAGTGGAAATCACAGCAGGGAGATCCCGGTCGGCATCTGGAGATGGAGAGGGGGCACGGGGGAAGTTAACAGCAGCAGCATGGGGCTGGGAAGGTGGCTCAGTGGTAGAGTGCTTGTCTAGCATGCATGAAGCCCTGGGTTCGATTCCTCGGCACCACATTCACAGAAGAAGCCAGAAGTGGCATTGTGGCCAGCAAGGGGGCCAGATACAGCAGGTGCCCCCATGCCAACAACAGGGCCAGAGACAGGCAGGTGCACAGCACAGACCGGCGAGGTAGGTTGTGGTTCAAACGCCTCACTGCCTGTCTGTTGGGACCAGAGGCTCCACACCTGCAGCTTCCTCGCACTCAGGGGAACTGGGGACCCACAGCAGAGACCCAAGTCTCCCCACCCTACCCGATCTGGGCCTCTGAGAAGGTCTACCCTTCTCATTTTTCACAAGGAGGGGGAGAAAGGGGCTTTGGAGGGGTGAAACAATTGTCATGCGGTTTGCTTTTTTTTTTTTTTCTCCCTCAGCTGCTTCCTGTGCTGTTATAATGGGCTGAAGAACTCTTTCCTGTGATAGCCAAACCCTGGCTGCTCCCTGAAGCTCGGGGCCTCAGCCTGGTCCTCTTGCCAGGGGAGGTCCTGAGTGGTGTCAGGCTGCCACAGGAGAAACCCCAAGGTGACTTGCATCCGGGGCATGGGGCTGCCACTCAGAGGCCCCTGGAATGGGGGATGGATGGCTGCTGTCGAGGTGGCCCAGATCTGAGCCCGCAGATGCCAGCTCCGTCCCTGTCCAATGACAGCGTGACATGGCTCAGTCTGAAGACTGACCTAGGCCCCAGATCATTACCGCTTCACTCGCTCTAAAAGGGCCAAGTTCTCTGCGTGTGAAATGCGGCGCATGGACATCTCGCACGTGGAATCAGGTTTATGTCAGAATAAATATATTGGTAGGCTAAAACCTAAGGTCCACACACTACATACAAAGCGAAGGCTCAAGGTGACCTCGAGGCGTGTGGTTTCCTGTGTGTCTAAGTGGAAGAAAACAGGGCGGAGGTGGGGGCCCTGGCTGTGAGGGGTGGGTACTAAGCTTGTTCATGTTGTCTTACCATGTGAACTTTAAACTAATGGGGTGGGGATGAGAAGGAAGGAGGTGGGAGAGAGGGAGGGAAGGGGTAATACTGTCCCCAAAGAAATGTACCCAGCAGCTGACTTACGTAACTGTAACTCCTCTGCACATCACCTTTATGTTCACAAGAAAAATACAAATTAAGCCAGGTGCCGGTGGCTCATGCCTGTCATCCTAGCTACCCAGGAGGCTGAGATCTGAGGACTGTGGTTCAAAGCCAGCCCAGACAGGAAAGTCTATGAGACTCTGATCTCCAGAAGATACAAAAAGAGAAAAAAGAATCTCTGGAAGTAGGAGCTATGGCTCAAGTGGTAGAGCTCATGGATGGCACCTAGTCCCTGGGTTCAAACCCCAGAGCTGGCACAAAAAGAAAGAAAGAAAAAGAGAGAAGGGGGGGGGAAATTGAGGGGAAGGGTTGGGAAGAGAATGAAGAAAAGGGAGACATGGATCTAGAGGCACTGTACTCATGAACTGATTTGTACTCCTTTGTACAACTACCTTAAAATAACAAAAAATGTAATTTTAGCCGGGCGCTGGTGGCTCACGCCTGTAATCCTAGCTACTCAGGAGGCTGAGATCTGAGGATCGCGGTTCAAAGCCAGCCCGGGCAGGAGA